TGTTTCAGTCACTCAGTCTCACTGGGAAACCACTGATTAACATGACAAAAGCATTATGCATTAGAGCTACTGTAATGCCTCAGGCAGGTTTACACCCAAAACCTAAAACTTGTGCATCCTGTAAGTTCAGCAGTTGCAGAAGTAGTCTGATTATAACTACATAATGTGATGATGAGGATTGTGTTAGTTGAGTTAATCAAACCTTTTTTTAACCACATATTCACCTTTTCTTTAAGCAATGCATTAAGTAGCCTTTGTTGTTGTTGGTCTGATTATTTGATTTAGCAGTTTAGAGTCTATTTCAACATGTTGTGCAGTGTGTCACAATCAACCACCATGTTAAAACTTCACTGCTCCAGGTGAGGCTTGAACTCACAACCTCGCGCATCACGTCTGCCAGGTTACTGTCTTATATAGTACCGCGCGCTGACCGATGGCGCCACTGGACACCACAGATTCACTGTCTGGATTAACCCCACACTGATGACAGGCTAATTAAAGGTAAAAATGTTTTAGTTATTCAGTCTCACTGGGGAACCACTGATTAACATGACAAAAGCGCTATGCATTAGAGCTACTGTAATGCTTTGGCCGGGTTTGCATTGAAACCTAAAACTTGCTGAGATTTCCTTGTGAGATTTCCAAGTCTCTTGACATTTAGAGTCTTGTGATCAGTGTGAGCTGTCAATTACAGTCAGATAATTATTTTTCCTTGACCACAATGGTATAATTTCTTTGCTCCAGGTGAGGCTGTGAAGTGTGTGTGTGGTGCCACCTTTTGTTGGTTATTAGTTTGTTAAACATTCCTTCCAGATGTTATAAGACATACATACAAATAGTCTGCTCTGAACAATAATGTGTGTCTGAAATGTTTTTTACACAAAAAATTATAAATCCCACTTTGCCATCTACTCCTTGAATCTATCAATATGCAAATTGTGTTCATTTCTAAAGTTTTCCTGATGGACACAAGATGTCTCCTACATCACCGTGATGTTCATTCTCAGTGTATGTGCACTGGTGATCTCAAGGTTCTACACTATATAAGTTGCATCCTGGACCAGAATTGATTTCCAACTACTTGTGAGGTCACATCACCGCTTAAAATGAGAATTTTAATGGACACAGAGAAACTTTTCACTTTCAGCAGATGAATGTGAAAACATCCTTCTAGTGTCACACTCTGCACAGACATCATTCTGCACATTAACCTTAAGAGGATATATCTGACCCAAAAAGCACCTCCTGCTATCGTCACAGCAACAGGAACACCTGCTGGCATAAAGCTGTAAGCTCCACATGTCCACAGCAGCACCAGGTCCTGACTTGTGAAGACGTCCAGGTGATGTCTCTGCTTCCTGTAAAGATGTTGACCTCTGATTCTTGTGGGGTTCCTCCAGGGCAGCTAACAGTGGACCCTAAAAACTTCAGCAGCAAGTAATTAGCACTAGCAGATGATAATAATGAGCTACTCCAACAGCAGTTTATTTAGTCATTTATTATCACAGTCCACAACAAAGATGAAACTTGAATTTATAACAATGGACCCTGGAAACCTCTGCAGATGACTCTCGGGACCAGCACATTCTGACTTAAGGAGACTCCTCAAAGTCCTGCTGGAAACATCCTCCAAGGGATGAAGAAGAAAGAAACTCCTGGGCTCCAACTATAGACTCTACCTCGTCAAAGATCTCAACAAAGGTGAGGGAACTCAGAGGGAGACTCATTCACACTTGTCTTTTCCACTTGTGCTGACGTATTTGTTTTGACACAAACCAGTTTAGAAACAAACATAATGTCTATCTATTGCTAGAATTTAAATCAAAATCATTGACTCACTTTCAACTTCTGTTCTGTTTTTACTTTATGGCCAATTGTATTTAAATAAGAGCAGGTTTTTAAATCATTCTTTCTTTTCTGTGTCTGTCTTGTGCTGGTGGTGGTTAGCACCAGTGGGGGTAAGCAACTAAGGACTGTAAAATTTTGAAGTACATGTACTTAAGTAGTTCTATTTTATGCTACATTCTACTTTCCTACATTACTAGAGAATTGTTGTATTTCATATATTTGACAGCCCTAATCACAGGGTCCTGTCCTTGCATGGACTTGATTGGCGAGCAGTTCAACCATAGACTAATTTTTCCTTCTCACACTGTGTTATTTTAATTATCTTTAGGACCCTCAGAAAGGCGAAAGTGTTTCACAAGAAAGGTTTAGGAAAATTAGAGAAAAGTCAGAAAAAATCAATCAAATATGTTTTCTATCCCTTTATGATCAGTAGTGACACCTCAGATTTTTCATGGCAACACTTATGTTGGGAATCACCAGCCTCGGTAGTATGCATGTGGATATTAAGCTTCCAGTTGTGTTGTCTACCTGTAATTGAAGGGAAATTAGTATTACACCAACCTTTTACCAACACTTAGGGTGCTTGCACATCTGTAATTCGGTTAACTTGGTCCAGACTGTTCACACTGACTTTTTATGAACGAACCCAGAGGAGTAAACATATTGGTCAGTGGAATTTCATTTCCCCATGTGGGATCATGTAGCGATGAGGATGCAGGATGACAGTTGCTGAAACTGTTCAATGAATGATTTACCTGTCTGTCTATCGTAAACCGGACCAAATCTAAAAGGTGTGAAAGCACCCTCTGATAAGCTTGGCTTGATTCCTATAATTCTGGTAGATACATGACATTATCAAAACAAAACATAACCAGCCATGCAAGTGTATTTTGTAACTTTATGCTCATAAAAGAAAGAAGAAATGTTGAAAAAACATTGCAGAGGGACAAATGAAAAAAGGTTGGAATGATCACATTACTACCAGGTACTTGTACATGAGTCTTGGTTACAGTCTTCAACAGGTGACTATTAGAAACCCAATCACCCTTGTCTGCAAATAAACATCCTCAGACAGCAGTACCATCCTAATGACTCAAACTCCTCTTAAAGGTGATCTCACTCGTAATGTCCGTCTCAAATGGCACCCAGATTCATTATGCTTCTTAGACTGGATGACTGTCATTACACACCTGTATGACCCAGTTGTTGCTTTGCTGTCAATAATGTAACACCTTTAAGCAGTGGTAGAAACCTCGATGTATGTTGGTTTTACAGCATAAATCTACATGTCTTTACTGAAAGGAGGAGTTTAGCTCATTGGGAAAAAATCTAAAAGAACAAAACAAAAACTCAAATCAAAAATGTTCATTCACACTAATTTGCTGTTTTGACATCAAGTACTGACTCAAAAACGTTGTTCACTTCATCAAGACGTTTCTTGGCTGAATATGTGTGGCCAGTTCCTCTTCTTGAACTTTCTCGCCTCTGTTTGAGTCAGTTATCCCTGTGAGTTCATGTTGCGACCTCTTTGTAACAGGAAGGAGAAAATAAGTGGGATGAAATCAGTACAGGTCGTAACTCTTCCCTGTCTTTCACCTCAAAATGCCACAGAGTTAACTCAACGAAGAGAGGAGTCAGAATCTAGGTCTTAGGTTAAGATTGGATTGGATTGTATTAATACTCCCACAGGGCTGAGCTGCTCAGGCTGAGACCATCTCCCTTCAACGTGCCTCCCTGGTCTCCACGCAGGTATTTGCCGTTCTTGCCACGGATGGCGAGGCGTCTGTGCTCCAGGAGCTCCAGAGAGAAATCCTCAGGGACCTCACCATCTGAGCACACCAGCCCAGCACTGTTCACATACCAGAATCGGCCATCCACACCTGCAGGATTTAAAGGGTAGATACACAAAGTCAGCAGAGTAGTAGTTTCTTCTTGATAATAGAATTATAGGATTTACTTTAGCTTTATTCACCATGTTGGGTTTGTCTTTATGCATACAACTGTGATCATGTAATGATGATGATTATCATTGCTGAAACGCAGATTTGTTCGAGAGATGGGGAGCAGAAAAAGGAACCAGGCACAAAATCAATCTTGTTTGAGAGGGCACATCCTGACCTTTAATATGGTAGGCCCCGTTACTGAATTGCAGGGTGAAAATGTCATAGACCGATCTGCTGGCATCCAGCGTGTTGGAATTCTTGTGGTGGCAGATGAATCCGTTGTCTCCTCTCAAGATCAGCATGGGTCGGTTGATCAGTTTCAAAGTGAGCTGTTCATCCTCACCTGTCAAAAGTGGACAGCAAAATCATGAAGACACAAGAGGAGTCAGAGGGAGGGTTTGAGGGAGGGGGGGTACAGTAATGAAGAGTAAAACCTAATATTGTCTCTTGCCTGTGGAATCACTGACAGCGAGCAGCTGGCCATTCTTCTTGATGCAGATGTATTTTCCATTGTTAGCTTTTAGTGCCACCTTCTGGCCAAGCCACTCCACTGAAAACATGGTGTTGGCTGACCTGCAGTAGGGCATCAAGAGAGAAAATGAAACTTTCCCTGCCTTTAAGTGCTCTTGGATATATTGTGATTACATGTTGAGTGCACATGCAGGACTACAAAAGGTAAAGCATGTCAACTAAGAGAGGCTGAACTTTCTATAAAATCAGATTTGCCAGGGTACGTTTAGCAGGTTGAGATAATCAACTCAAACAGTTGATTATTTGCCATCTGCATGAATGCTATCCTTATTATTTTCTTCTTTTCTTATAAAGCATTCACGACTATTTCCATTTATAACTGAAATCAAAGGTCAAGGTTTATGTGCAGTAGTGGAAGGCTGCATAAAGTGGAACATTTATATTTTTATAGTAAAGTAAAAAAAATTGTTATAGTGCAAAACATTCCTTTTGTAAATATATATCTGTGATATAAAGTGTAGAACTGACATACAATTATATTAAATGATGTGTTAATTTTCCCACTGCACTACTGGTATAAGAGCAGTCACTCACACTTCAGTAGCCGTACTCTGGATGCCTCCGTGGGCCACCAGAGCCCAGTAGTTCCCTTGGCTGGTGCGGAAAGTACACATCCTGGTTTCCTTGTCAATCTCCATCTGAAACGTCTCCATGTCTGTCTCATCTTCTTGATTTGCTGCAAGGCTGACTCCTGGGGTGGGGGGCATAGCAAGCAGCTCTTGTCATTAATACTGTAGTGACCGGAGATATCCATTTATTGTTGCTTGCAATTTTATTAATTTTCATTTTCCATTTGTATATTGCCTGTGTGCAATTACTGCTGAACAAGTTGTGACAGCATTTGCACCTTGCACGAGGTGTGAGGTCATAGTATTAAGCAATGAACATAAGGCAGCATTAAATGTGTGTTCACAAATTACATCTGATTGTGCTGAATAGGTGTTTCTCAAGTGCATGAAATAAACAATTTCTTCCGCAGAGCTCTTTTTTTCCTCTTTGGATTTACAGTGGCAAGTCGAAAACCAACAAAATAGGTTGGGAAAACAGCGACATAGCAGCTTGCTAATCAGGTTGTATTGTTATGTTTAGCTTGGCCCAGCATGAAAGAGTTGGTAATCAGGTCTGATCCTAGGATGTTAGGTTATTTTTAAGTGGTTCCGTCTTAAACTCATCTGACATGCTGAGCATATACATTACCTTCCTGAGGGTAATTACATGTTCACTGATTGTGGTTCTGGATACATTTATGGACAGAATATACTCTAAATATACTATAAAATAACACCAAATGTACCCATGCAGGAAAATCTTACAGAGACAGAGCTAAATGTGTAGAATGCATGTTTCTCACAATAATATGTGTGATCAGCAGAAAAACACTCTCACACTCTTCGCTTCAATTACATTGAGACTTCTTAACAGCTAAACAAAAATCACACCATTGATTGACAAACACAGAAAGCAATTATTTCAGCATTGCTAACACATGAAGCGGTATTGGTGTCAAACATGTGAGAAACACACTAAGACATAGACAAACACAGTGACGTCCACTCCTCTCTGCTTTGATGGGAGTTTTGGCTTCCAGGTTCAGAAGCAAATAGCCAGCTTTACTGTTAACCTCTTCTTTATTTCAGAAGTCCTTTTGTGGTTAATATTTCCACCTGTTAGCATTTTCATGAAAGACAACAATTGTTTGTCACCACCAGGAGACAGATTGCAAAGAGCTGAATCCCAAATTAGATACATCCTAGAATAATCCTTTAACAACGCAGATCTGTGCGCCTCACCCCCCTCTTATCTCTCCATGCTCCCTTCGCTGGCCATCCTTCTCTACCTTCCTCCCTTCCCCCATCTCTCCCTCCTTCCCCCTGACCCCCTCAACCCCCTCAACTCCCGCCTCCCACCGTCACCCCACCTCCGGCCCTGCCTATCTGCCCTCTTCACAGCGGGGCTCTGATATAATCAGCTTTCAAGTGCTACCCGTCCAATCACTCAATCCCCTCAATAAAAGAATAAAGGAAAAACAGGAAAAGACCAGAGGATTTATGGTCCACACTTAGCAGGATGTACAGATAATTACCAACCCCTCTCAACCCTCAAGCTAACGGAGCTATGAATGACATATGGACAACATGCTAAAAATGTATATGCGTTATGTAGCTATATTGTTTTATACATCTTAAAGGACCCAAAGTATATTCATGTATAGAGGGCTACTTTTATTTAACAAATACAAACCAAACTCTATTTGACAACAGTGCCCCCCCAAAAAATCTAAAATTATTTAAAGACTGAAACCTCAGAAATGATCAGTCTATACAGTTTATTGGTAACAAGCAGGTGGCTGCATTGGAGAAGTGCAGAAAATGTTATTTCTTCCTCCTAAACTATCATTCTCAGGTTACAGATAACAATACAAAAATAAATATAACAGCGACAAGACATGCTAGTGATTCTGTGAGGCTGTATTTAGGCACAGTGGGGCTTTGATCGCATGCTTACGTCAGCATGCTAACATGTTTGAGGTGTTCTGTCAAATGAAACGCAACTTTTCTCAAATAAACTAAATATATTGAATCAGCATTGTCGCTGATCGAATCAAACGCTTTTAGCTGTGGATCAGTCTAGTATAGTAAGTGAGCACACCAAGTGATGCCATTAGATATGCAAGCATTTGGTCATAAACCAAAGCATTGGACAAATAAAACACTTGACCTATTGATGGCACTAGACCTTTAATATCTTGGGAATGGATCCACCAGTTGTTGAGATATTTATGTCTGGACCAAAGGGGTACACCAACCTACAGACCAACAACACCATCCCCAAAGCTGTGCTGCTAACATGGATAAAAAACAACATAAAACAAAGATATTATCTGTATGTCTGAAGTGAGGTCAGCTCAACTTTAATAACACTAATAAACCTGAGCTCACTATGATACATTGCATCAAGTGGTTTAAGGCTACTGAGGGATTCATGCATATAAATAACGTGCATAATCCAACACAGATGCACATACACACCTACCAGTTTACAGCACATTTTTTGGTAGAAAAACCCTCACAAAAACAATTTCAACTCTTGTTCAGCCCTAGCAGTTCATGTTAGTGTTTTAAGATCCCTTTGGGGTCATTTTGTTTTAATTTGATATCTGACCGTAGATACAGACTGGAGGATGGAGAAAGGGGATGACGTGCAACAAAGATGTCATGGTTACTGAGCTACCGGGACGCTTTAATCACATCTTATTCACACCTGATAAACTAGGTATCATGAGGTCTTACAACTGGTTAAATTATCATTGATCTTAAGTGCATGTGAAGCATATATTTCTAGCCCCTCTACTCTGCACCTATGCCTGGGGGCCCATCACTCTCATTCTCTCTCATCCCGACTCAATGTCATGCTTTGTCTACCTATTCCATGTGTCCATTTCACACTAATTCAACCCAGAAATGATCCCCCGACAGGGCTCAGCTGGGACCTCATGGCTGCTATCTGATAGATGAGGGGAGAGGAGGCAGAGGAAGGAGAGAAGGATGGAGGAAGATAGAGAAACAGAGAACAGGGGCAGAAAGGGATTAGATATGCTGAAATCCAAGCCAGCAATCTGAGGATATCAATAGCTGTGTTGATGACCATCTTTGACACACCAGTTGGTCAAGCATACGAAATAAGATGCTGTCATCATAGCCACGACCACTGATAAACTATGCAGCGTAGCACAGTACAGTCCTCATCAGTACACTGCATGGTGCATCTACACAGACACACACAGGTAACAACAGCAGTGGCACATTTTGGATCAGACCCCAGATCCAGCTCCACTTTCTGGTGTTGTCCTACCTGCAGCCTGCAAGTGGAGCAAGCCTAACTAATCCATCAGCGATAGATGCCTCTGACATCTATTATTAATAGTAAGCTGATGCCACTATCCCCCTGTTCCTTATTTCACTCCTTCTCCCAATCCTTCATCCTTCACAACTGCATTTTCTGTTGTTCTTTTATTTCAGTCCATTCGTTTTTTCCTCCACTTATCTGTTCCTGGACTGTGTGTGTGTCTGTGCACAAATGCATCATGTGAGCATGTATGTATTTGTGTTCACGTGTGTTAATGGAAAGTTTTCACTTTCAGGTCAGAGTGGACCACTTAGACCCGAGGAACACAGGGAGGTGATGAGAGACATGATGACAGATCTACATGACATGCTGAGCCACAAACACACACACACACACACACACACACACACACACTGCAGGCATCCCATTGCTGTCTACAGAACCTCTCTTTAACACTTTAATATCTAAATTCATGCTCTACCTGATAACAGCTGACCCTCTTTTATTGCCAACCCATTTACTGCATTTGTACTCACTTTAAAATAGATAGCCAACATGACTCCTCTGCACTAAATGGAGCAGAAACAAAGGTGCTAATTTATGTGTAAAGGCAGGTGACATTAGGGAGGATGAAGAGCCCACCTGTCTCTACACATACTCCTATTGTCCTAAAGTCCTTGGAGACTTGTATCCTCCCTTCTCTGCTTTCCATTTTCCACTTCCTCTTTAGTCATCATGTTGAACCCAGAGGTAGAAGGTAACAAGGTACATTTATCCATGTACTGAAGAATTTTGAGGTACTTGCATTAAATGATTTTCCATTTTGTACTTTTGTCCCACTTTTACTCTAACTTAACAATTTGACCTTTCACCTAATATTTTAGTTTTTCTAGTTTCTCTCAAACTATCACCATTCGCCCGTACTCATTGATTTTCGGCAGCACATCAGCACTAACTGAGGCCAGCTTAGTGGGTTAGATTAGCAGGATAGAGCGGGACCTCGGAGGGGCAGAAGCTTTGGCCCCAGGTGAAAGGGAGCTTGGGTTTCTGAAAGCAGACTCCCCCCTTGCCTTACAGGAACAGGGGCCAACTTCATCAATAATTCAAAACACCACCTCACCGCTTGCCGCAGCAGGATGGTATGATTGTGTGTGGGCGAGTGTGTCTGAGAAAGATAAAGCTTTTGTTTGTGCAGAACAAGTGTAGGAAGAGAGAGAGAGAGAGAGACTGTAATAATAGACAAATGTAAGCATGCTGCAAGTATTTCTGTCTGTGCATACATTCGAGGCTACTGTATATACTGTATGCACGTTTTATCCTGCACCATATCTTTCTTTCCCTTTAACCAATCAGTTTACAGTTCCCAGTCCTTTAGTTTCCGCCTGAAGCGCCCACTGCTAACCAGGAACAATGAGCGGCGAGAGATTCAGTTACAGCACCCAGGGCTGAGGTAACTCAACCCTGCAGACAAGAATCTGCAGCCTGCGGATGGGTGTCATGGCCAAGTATGCTGACAAGCATTGTTGGTGTATGCTAATCCACCCCAAATCCAGTTTCAAATCAGACCAGCAAACCATTTCAACCATCAGCAACTGAACACTTGGCACGTCCTTTTAGTGCACTGCTGGTTATATGAAACATGATCTTACAATTACAATTGTTCTAGTTTTTACACTGATCAAAGAAATGTAACCTTGTTTTTAAGAAAAAAAACAACAACTTTGAAGCCAATGTGGAGCGGGTGTAATCCATCTTTATAGTAGTGTGGTGTCATGGCTGCATGCTGATCAAATAACGCACTCCAACAGCCCTGTCACAAGACCGAAGAGTAAATACATAATACAGTATCAACAGAGCATTACTCTACAGCATATAGGTTACAAGCAGCTGTTTCAGTAAGCCCAAGCGGCCAAAAGCGCAGCATGTTAACACCATTACCCAACAAAGCCAGGAGGTACATTTAAGAAGGAAAGAAAGATTTTAAAAAAGATTATTTGGTAAAACTTATTCTATTATATTTGCTGCATTTTATAACAGGGTATTTCAAGAACACCTCTGACAACATTTAAACTCATGAAAAAGAAAAAAAAGATTATTTGGAAATATTATTATTTTGAAATGTGTATTTCTGTAGTTATCCCCAACATGGGTGCACAATAGATCTGTTATTTGACAGCATCACTCACTAGTGTAAGAGTTCATACAGACAGTAGACTAACCTAAATCAGTTACAGCACTAAAACAAATGGCGTATTCGTCTCAGGTCTCCTAGATGAGGCTGATAGTCTCCTGTATCAGCCTTGTCTATCTTGTTTTCTTGGAGAGATGCTACTATCCAATGTG